TTACATTTATATTTAATTTGTCACTTTGTTTTTAGTGTCGCCGCACACGGGCCACCGACCACAACCACAAAACGCCGCCACCGGCATATTTCTTGTAGTTTTCATACATTTTATATGGACTCGCCACACACGGTACGCCGGTGGCCGCCACACGCTACAAATCTCGTTGCTCGCTTCTTGTAGCCCGCACCGGCGACTTAATACGCCGATACAAAACGCCGCCACACGTCACTCGCGCGATTCCCCACCCCTCTCTCCCTTACCTTAGTCGGCCGCTGTCGCGCGCTTCAGCCACTTTAGTAGCCGCTTCTAGCTTCTCGTGGCGGCGTTTGTAGCTATGGCGTGTGGCCTGTGTGCGGCGACACTTAATCTTTTCTATATAAACTTCAATTCTTTCATTTGTTTTATTTTGTTCCATATTATGAGAGTGGCTGTGTAATTAACAAAATCTGTTTTCTCCATAAATTTTTTGAGGACTACTTACTGTGTGGAGTCGGTACCTATACAGTATTTGTTATGTGGCTTTATAATGCCAACAATGTTATAACACTAACTATTAATTTTATTTTGCCTGCAAATTTCTATATTACTCCACTTTTCTTAATGAAACTGTCAATAAGGTCCAATGGGTCCCATAATAGAGGCCCAATGGGCCCTTTCTATATAATCCTTTAGTGGGGTCGAGTGGGACATACAAATAAGGTCCAGTGGGTACAGTTGCAGTAGGGTCTAATCTTGAAAGTCGAGTGGGTACCAATCGAATGAAAAAAATAGGTCCAATGGGTACATCAAACATAAAAATTTAAGAAGGTCGAATGGGTCATGTAAGTGAGGTCCAATAGGCTCTTTTTGCTTTCGGGTCGAATTTTAAGTGTCCAGTTTGTTCTAGACCGAAATAATCTTGTTCTCGGTGAAGGTCTGGTGAAGGGAGCGGTGGACAAACGCCCTTAGGGCAGGAGGTCAAAGAGACCATGACGGCGCCGAAGTAGCGACACTATTCATATATTTACTACTAGCGGCCGCCCGCGACTTCGTCCGCGTTAACTTTTAGTCTTTTCTCTTTTTTTTCTAAAATAAAAGATTTTTTCTAAAACAAAAAAGCCTAAGTTACTCCTTATTACATCAGCCAGCTGCCAATAAAAGTCCCGTCAAAATCGGTCCAGCTATTACAGAGATTTGCCGAAACAAACAGACAGACAAAAATTATAAAAAAGAAATTGGTGTATGTATCGTATATATATTCATATGCATGTAGTAAAAAGCGGTTATTTCAATATTACGAACAGACGCTCCAATTTTATTTATACGTAAAGTTAAATAGATAGCCGATTGTCCACAGCAAGCCCGTCACGTCATCTAAGTTTTTGATTAATAAAACTTATTTACTAAGATTAAGTGAGAAAAACATCAGATTTTTTAATAACATTTATTTACTAAGATTGAAAAAAAAACACCGATTTTTAATAATATTTATTTATTAAGACTGAGAAAAAACATTAATCGGAATCTAGCTCTTCTATTCCGCTCATCTCTGCATTACCGCCGGAGTAGTTATGAATAATCATGCACTTTTTTCGCACACCGTACTTTTCCAGCGACATTTGACAGATAGAGGTCGTTGGCTTTCCTATTCTTATTTGAATCGCATTATAAATGTACACATACAATAAAAATCGACACTAATCTATTTTACACTAGCGACCCGCCCTCGCTTCGCTTCGGTGTAGAGCTGAAGTGTAGACTACAGTTTTTGTTCTCAGGCTTGTATTAAACACAATGACATTCATCTATGATTCTTCTTATACCTGCATGCAAAGTCTCAGCCCGATCGGTTTAAAATTGACAAAGTTTCATACAAACTTTCATTCCCTATTTTATCCCTTTGGGGGTAGAATTGATCAAAATCCTTTCTTAGCGGATGCCTACGTCATAGCATCTACCTGCATGCCAAATTTCAGCCTGATCCGTCCAGTGGTTTGGGCTGTGCGTTGATAGATCACTATGTCAGTCAGTCACCTTTGAGTTTTATATTATATTACTCATAAAAGATAGATATATATGGTGTCGCAGAGTTTTTTGTAGGACTATTTAAGATAAATATTTTCACCATACATTATATACATGTAGCACTAACTGTTTTTGCAGCACACGCCTGAATAGCTCGCAGATTGCAGAATTTTTTCAGACTTAAATGACATTTATCGTTATATTTTGGACAATTCACACAATATCTTTATAAATTATAGCCTATGTGTTATTCTGATCTATAAGCTACATTACTGTAAAGTTTCATTAAAATCCGTTTAGTAGTTTTTGCGTGAAAGAGGAACAAACATCCATCCATACATCCATCCAAACAAACTTTCGCCTTTATAATATTAGTAAGGATTTTGTAGGGACCAACCCTAGCGCTCCGCTCAGTCGTAGGTATCTATTTCAAAAAAATGGCTGAGTTACGCTACTGCAGCTCTTGTATGTATTGTGACCATTCTCACCAACAGAATCGCAACACCGAAATTTTTTTGCGTTATTTCATTTTGGTTTTCTGTAAGGTTGAGGTTACTTCCGGTTTGTACTACCGGTCAATAGTTTTTTTTTTAATTTTGTCTATTTTATAAAAGTTGGTTTTAATGTGTCGCAAACGTCTTTAATCTATTTATAACTATCTTATATTATTTGATACTTCTTTTGCAAAAAAACCTACAAAGTTAACGACGCTTTTTTAACAAATTCTTGTAATGATGAAAACGCTTTTGATTATTCAACATCAAAGAATTTGATTTTATTTACTGAATATTTTGTGATTGCAATTTGCGAAAAATTTTGTGTTAAAAAAATATTAATTTGAATATTTATTTTTTATGAAACACCATCGCAGCCAGTGGCGCAGGCACGGCTAATCTAATTCCCATTTCCTTATTTCCCATGGGAGATTAAGGCCTACATTAATTTACGATTTCACTTTCAATCGCCAACATTGGAAACAAGCCTGCCTGGTTTATGTTGGAATAAAATGGTAAACATTAAGATTTATTGACATTAAATTTGTTCATTTTACAAATTCTCGTGTCACAATATTTGTTATCATACTCCTCCGAAACGGCTTGACCGATTTTTATGAATATTTTTATGCATATTCAGTGGGTCTGAGAATCGGCTACTATCTATTTTTCATACCCCTAGGTCTTTAGGGTTATCCACCCCTAACATTTATTTTTATTTTTTGCTCATTTTTTTATTATTATTGTATCATGTGGCATTAAAAAATACATACAACCCTTAATTTAACAGAAAGAGGTTTGTGCGGGAACCGATGTCGCCAGTTCGCCCCCACTACATTTCCACAATAGATAATAGCCAATCAAATGACGCGACATCAAACGATCGAACCAATCAGCGGTCACACCCGAGAGTAACGACGCAATCAGAACCAAGTTTTGGTCCAGTTATGAGCATTGCGCGTCTGCCCCGCCCACAAGGCCCTACTAACCTCTCTCTGTGTTCTATGAACTGATCTGTGAACGCAGAACTCAAACCACCTAACGGATTGCACTGAAATTTGGCACACTTTTACTAAACTCACCCCCCCCCCCCCCCCAAACTGAGGGAAAAGGGGGTTTCAAAGTTTGTACGCAACCGTTATAGACTGACTGATCTATCAACGCTCAGTTGAAAGCTGAGTTCGACATTCGTTCATTCACTCAAAATCAAATCTAACGCGAGCGAAGCCGCGGGCAAAAGTTAGACAAATATAAATGCCAATCGTGTTCAGGTATTATTCTATCTATGTATATGAGTTAAAACAATTGACAAAGATGTAAAAAAGTGTTGAACACGATTAAGCCTTAATATAATTTAAAAATGCTGGTGCAAGAGGCCCTTAATTGTAGATAAAGCTGCATAATCAACACTTCAATCTTTTCAATTTGAGACTATTTAATGCAAACTCTTAGTTGTTTCTCAACCCTCACGCAGATTGCGGTCAAAGATGCAATAGTAAAGTATACTGAGAGTTTGCGAAACGTTTGAGGCTAAAGCACTCCGATTAATAGTCCGCCATTTACGGTAGCTAACAACCTGTTGGTTAGGTTAAGCCAGACTTTAATTGGAAAATTCTAGGTATGAAATCGCAGTTTAGGTTAGTTTTGGCTTTTGCTGAACACATAAATTACTTAATGTATTCTGTCGCCCAGCGGGCAATGGAGAGAGCTATGCTTGGTGTCTCCCTGCGTGATAGAGTCAGAAATGACGAGATCCGTAGGAGAACTAAAGTCACCGACATAGCTCGAAGAATAGCCCAGCTGAAGTGGCAGTGGGCGGGACACAAAGTGAGGACAACCGATGGCCGTTGGGGCGGAAAGGTTCTCGAATGGCGACCGCGTGCCGGACGACGCTCAGTGGGAAGACCCGCTACAAGGTGGACCGACGATCTGGTGAAGGTCGCGGGAAAACGCTGGATGCGGGCAGCGCAGGACCGATCGTTGTGGAGATCCTTGGGGGAGGCCTATGTCCAGCAGTGGGCGTCGTACGGCTGATATGATGATGATGATGATGATTCTGTCGCCAGTATCACCATAGACGTAGATCGAAATAGATAACAAGTGTATGTACTTCGCGTGCCAAAAGGTAGAATATATTTCTTCTCGTCAACATTCTCGATACTGGTCGTCAAGGCATTTGAAAACCTCCGGCGCGGTCAGAAATCACAAAATTAATTATAACGCTATAGCAATTGTCAAAGCAATCTGATTTTAGAAGTATATCTGAAGTCATTTTTCGACTTGACGACTCTGTTTATAATAATACAGGGAGAAAAAAAACAGCCCATGCTGAGTTTCTTGTCACTTCTTCGCAGTACAAGATCTGCCACCTTAGATATGCGAACCGATGGCGTACGATTCCATTCCAATTCATTTCATTCCACTTCATCCAATTCCATTCCATTTATTTTAATTTTATTTCAATGATTGTGGGCAGTGACGTTTTTCTCTTTGTTGCAGTCATACAGTGATTTCTTCAAAGCTCTCCTCTTCAACGCCCGCGTCATAGTCCAGATATTCTTCATGATGGGTGGGTTCCTGATGGCGTACAAGATGCTCACATATGCGGAAACGCACCCGTTCTCATTGAAGACTGTGCCGATGGCGCTGGTGAACAGGTGGTTGAGGTCTGTATTTTTTCCCTTCATCATAATAAATATTTCTTGCATTCACACTAATAAGCCTAGCCCCAAAGTCAGTACTGAGGTTAATGTTATGGTATACTTGGGTAGTGGACAGAAATATGTACAAAGGTACATAGATACTTAAGTATATTTTTGTCGAAATTTATAAACAGCCTTGACTTATGCTGGGGCCACACTAACGGCAAATGCCGCTAATTATCGCAATTATGGACGTTTAACAGTACGCACCTGATCTGAGTGCAACAGGAGTAGAATGGTGCCGGTTTCGTGCTCGAAACCTTTTCAAGAGTTATGTTTTTAAACTTATCATCAGCCTATTAATGTCCCCACTGCTGGAGTACAGGCTTTACCTAAGGATGAAAGAATAAGGAGATTGGGCCGTGGGCCGTAGCTGGTGGATGCTAACGACTGCAGATGCAGCCGGGACCAACGGCTTAACGTGCCTTCCGAAGCACGGAGAAGGATATTTAGACTTAAACAATTTTTAACTTTGAATTAATAAAGGTATTAATTCAAAAGAAAATTTTACTAAAAAAGAAATACAGTCGGTCGAGTTAATAAACAGGATCGAATTTTTAGTAGGAAAACTTTTCTTTAGATTTAAACATCCAGCAGTAAAATGCTAAAAAATTAATGATCTATCGTTGTTTATTGTCAAGTCAATAATAATAATGCAGAGGCAGACGTCAATTAGATATCCGTTAGTTTCATATTTAACTACAAATCTGATGACACGACGTGCATAATGCAATTTTGATTAATGTCATCCTAGGTACAGCAATACAGATGACCATTAAGGAATATTCTTCTAATTCGAGGTTGACTATTATATTAACGTTAAATCTTAAACCATTATACTCTAGCAGCGCTATTATCTAAGCGTGCCTACTTCCTAGGTAATAACGTTAATTCTTACTAATATACAAAACATCTGTAGTTGAGTTACATTTTCCTTAAATAAACCTTTGGTCCCGGCTTGCGTTTTAAATTGTAAACAACCACCAATTTTACTAGGTCCGGTTTTTCTCGCTATTTTGTCCTTAATCTGGGCCCGTGTAGTATGCGCTTTCCGTATTCCATCATTGGAAAAGGCCTTTGCCTTAGCTGTGGTGCCATCAATAGACAGGTGATAACAATAATTGTGTGAACTGCGTGTGTGATTAACTGGAAGGTCCCTTTAAATCCATTTACCCATAAATAAATAATTTGGCTATTTCGATCTAGATATTTTAAAAATATATTCATATATGTTTTATAATATGGTCTTTTCACAGGTTAATGCCCGCTGTGCTGGTAGTGATGGGGCTGGCGATGACCTGGGTCCCGCACTTTGGCTCCGGCCCAATGTGGGACGCGGTGGTGAAGCGAGAAAGGGACATGTGCAGAAGCAACTGGTGGCAGCTGGTCATACTGATGCCGAACCTGTTCCCATTCGAACATTTGTGCTTGCCACAAGCCTGGTGAGTGTTTTTGTAACTTTTATTACAGGTCACAACGCAGTGGTGAAGCGAGAGCGGGACACGTGGCGGAGCAACTGGTGTCAACTGGTCATACTGATGCAAAACCTGTTCCCATTCGAGCACATGTGCTTGCACCAAGCCTGGTGAGTGTTTTTGTAGCAATCATTAAAGATCACAACGCAGTGGTGAAGCGAGAGCGGGACACGTGGCTAAGCAACTGGTGTCAACTGGTCATACTGATGCCAAACTTGAATGGGAACAATTCAAGCACTTGTGCTTTCCACAAGCCTGGTGATTGCTTTTGTAGCTATCATAGCAGGTTATAACGGTGCAGCGAGAGTGGGACATGCGCCAGAGCAACTGGTGTCAGCTGGTCATACTGATGCCGAACCTGTTCCCAGTCGAGTACTTGCCACAATCCTGGTGAGAGTTTTTATTCATTACTAGCTGGTCCGTGACTGCGTTCGCGTAGACCTCCAAGAATAACAACATGTCGTATGAAAGTGACATAATTGTTCTAATGAAATGAAGTGCTCTTCTTGCATTTCTTCAACTAATGCTTACCTCTTCGTAAACGATATTAATTAGGAGCCACTAGGGTCAGACGATGGAGGGCATGTAATACCGGTGAAAGATAAAATAAGGAAGATGAAGGTTAACAAAAAAACGCCACGTACAAACGAAGTTCCTTATAATAGTCCATTGCCGTCATAATATAAATTGTGGGTCATGGGGGCATTACCATTCCTTTATGGCTCTAAATTGCATTGTCTATTTTTTTTTTAATAATATCTATATCGTTCTGACGCTCGACAGCAACACCAAACTATCCTAATTTCTTCTCTTAACCCGGGAGCTCTCACCCTCAGGTACCCCCAACCCTTGATATTCTCCACTCCCCAGATGTCTGCAACCCCCAAAAACACCTAGCACGAAGTGATCCCTACACTCGCGATCCAACAAATCTTGTAGTGCACACGAGTGAAGCCTGGTATTAATTAGTATGTAAAATGTTTTCATAACCTCGTTTGGAAACTAGGTGCTATAAAACACTGTTTAAATTATCACCTCACTGTTACAGTAAATATTATGTGTATGTTTAAGTAAGAAACGAGTAAATTTAAAAAGTTACAAAACATTATAAAACTGAGGACAACTTGATTTCAATGCAATCACTATTAGCATACGTTGGCTCTGTTAAACCGTTTATAAGAACTTTATTTTAAATACAATGAGTTTAATATTGTTTTTTCTCAGACAGAACGAAAGGACGTACCTTACACACCGGATGGCCTCAAATATTGGTTCGTCAATGTTTCTGCCAGAACTGTAATATGCCGTAATAGATAGGACATTTCAAATTTTAAACATTATTACTACATCTTGCTATTAATGGAACGGAACTTATAGTTTACAATGCCCACGCTTAGTTACCCACCACTAACGCCATCTAGTGAGTTATCTGCGGACGAACGCGAAGAATCGATTGAAGGAACCTATACGTCACACACATCTCTCGACTACCATACTTAACATCATCATCATCAGCCTATTAATGTCTCCACTGCTGGGGCACAGGACGTCTCTACGGATGGAATAGACAGATTGGGCCGTGACCTACCACGCATGCCCAGTGCGGATTGGCGGGTGCTAATGACCGCAGATGCAGCCGGGACCAACGGCTTAACGTGCCTGCCGAAACGAGTTTATGGTGACGCATCCAATGACCGACCATTACGAAAGCTGTTTAACTTCCACAATCGTGGCCCGAACGCGCTAACCACCTGCACCATCGAGGTTTTGTTGGAAGGGTCAATAAAGAATTAAAGTAGTTCTAATTTTAGAACACTCAAAGGAAAAACTTATATTTGTAGAATGTTTAAAATGAAATCGATATGAATAAAAAGCTTTAAAAGGTTTTTGAATTCGAATATAATATTGTAATGTTTTAATACTTCTTTTAAAATACGTAGCTGCATCATATCTTAGATATTTTTATAGGTAGCATAATTAATTCGAGCTTTTTAATATTAAGAAATATTCTAAATGTACAAAAAAAATGTTTATTTCCCAAATATAAAGAATTTAAAACAAAATTCCGCAAAAAAATAAAAAAAAGAATCGAAAACATCCTTTCATATAAAATTTCGGGTAATTTACTAATTATATTTTTTCCGGGAAGATGTCCAGTATATTTTTGTACTCAAGAAGGGTACAAAAATATCCTTATAATTTGTACTTATTAATTCTTGGAATTTTTAATATTTCCAGCTGTAAATCACACGACACTTACAGTTGCCGTCGAAACGCCCCACAGCGCCGTATGCGCGTAAAAAAAATAGAAAGAATTCTAATAATATCATAAATGCATTCGTTTTATTTGTTGTCTCAATTAATACGATCGCGTTTCTGCCTGTCGGAAGAAGCTAAATTGGTTAACAATTCGTTAAACATCGAAATCTTTAAATACTCTCTACACTATATTCAATCATTAATGATCCATATGCTCCTGGATATTTGAAATGAAATAAGCTTAGGCTTTAATTATTAGGCTTTTTAAGGAAATAGCAAAAAGGTTGGTCGACGTCACAGGAGACCGAAGAGCTGGCAGCTACCTCGAACAAAGAATTAGTCTAGCTATTCAAAGGGGGAACGCTGCCAGTATCTTTGGAACCTTGCCTAAAGGGACTCCTTTTAGTGATGTATTTTAGTTATTATATATTTTAAAGTTTTTTTTTAGTTTTAGTTATTACGTTATATTTTTGAAGGTTCTTAGTTTTAAGTTCATTGTTCCTGTATATATATTTATTTATTAAGCCATCGCGATATACAATTTTTTCGTCGCATTATAATTAAGTCCCAATAACTGGTTGTATCTGTGGCAATTAAAATATTCATTTTTGAAATGTAAATTTGGATATCTTGGTAGTAGCCATAATTTCAATATTCGGTCTGGCAGCAAACAAACTCTAGCTATTCCCTCTCACCATACTGGTTTTGTTTCCAACTCATTTTCTCTTCAAGCTATACGACTCTGGAACGCACTGCCTCCTCATATTTAAGATGCTCCGAACAAACTAGCTTTTAAACGCTGTACATCATAATTTATTAGATTCCTCCTCTGCATCGTCCTGATTTGATATAGATCTTTGCTATAATTCTCCGGTTGCCTGGTAGAGAATGCCTAATGGCATTATGTCCGCCACTTGCACTCTCATTTGTGCAATAAAGTATAAATAATAAATAAAATAAACGTGAAAATTTGAATGTTTGTTACTTGATCACGTAAAAATGTAGTTTTTGAGACATAGAACACTTTTTATCCCGGAAAAATTGTAGGTTAGGTAAGATTGTCAATAAGGTAAAGTTGACGTTGATGAAGCTTCAGTCTTCCGTTAGTGGGTAATAAATCATTTCGATTCGTTAATTAGTCTATCGCAATGTCTCGATAGCCGTCGAATTGAAACAAGACATAAAGACAGTTGCGGCTACTATGCAATTTTCCGGGTGCTGAATTTTAAAATTGCCCATTTCGTTTACAAAGTGGCATGTTCACGCATCTCCGATTGTGTTAACTGGCTTCCTGTTTTGTAATTAACTGATTCTCTTTTTCGGTTGTAGTACAAAGGACTATCTAGAATTTACCACTTAACAAAGTTACCACTAGTGATTATGATCATCGGTCTGTTAATGTTCCCAATACAACCTCCTTATTAATAAACGACGAATAAGATTGAAGAATAAGGCTCGATGGAGTGATGATTTGCGCAAGGTGGTTGGCAGGAGCTGGATGCGAGTAGCCCAAGATCGATCTGAGTGGCGTGCATTTGGAGAGGCCTATGTCCAGCAGTGGACTAAGATAGGCTGTTAATGATAATGATGATGATGAAGACTGGATTAGTTACTCCATGTTTAGTCTCTCTTCATTGAATTACTGAGGAGCTGGCGAACAAAACGGTATAATTACGCATCTTCAATCAAAACCACCTAAAACAGTGTTAAAATTACTAAATTTATACATTAAAACCCATGCTAAAAACTCAATGGAGAATTATATGTAATTACTAGCTGACCCAGCGAACTTCGTACCGCCATAAAAATAGGCTATAGGTTGTATGAATTTTTAAATATCACACTATAAAAAAAAATGTCCAAAAAAATTTTTAGGGGTGTGTAACGTAGTGTTCTATCAATTTCCTGGGATAACATTCCTCCTAACCCATATGAGAACACTACGTTACAATATCCAAAAGATTGAATTTTGGCGCGAAGGCTCAGTGTACGTTTCAGAACACTACATGTGGACAACCATTATCACTACAAGGATATGAAAAATAGATAGTAGCCGATTCTCAGACCCACGGAACATGCATATAAAATTTCATTAAAATCGGCCAGGCCGTAGGAGTATGGTAACTAACATTGTGACACGAGAATTTTATATATAAGATACCGTTTTGTTGGCCTGCTCCTCAAATAGAACTTGAGTGACATGAATAAAACACGGCGTAACTAGTCCAAACTTATTCGTCGCTTATTAAAAGGGGAGCTACGGTATAGGCCTTCCCTAAGGCTGTGTGGCGGCGACATCTACATGTCCCATATATAATGAAAATAGAGGAAATATTCACTCGCCTCCTTAAGAGATGGCGATACTGGCGCTGCGTTCACAACGTATGAAAGCCTACATCGCGCAAGAGAAATTCGGAGCCAAACACTCCATATATACAATGCCCGACCATCATCAGTCGGGCCGCGGCCCCCGAGCTACCATCACCCAGCTCGGAGGAAGATCTTCCCCATTGGCCCCCTACATCTGGAACAGGAAGACTGCTAATGATAAATAAATATATCAATAAACCTACAGGACTACTGATGATTGTTTCAACTTTCGACGATTATATATTATTTAGCCTCTTTTCAATTTCTAATAAAAATGCGATAATTTTAAATTAACTACATGCCTTTAAATTTAATCATGATACAAAAAAGATTTTGCGAAATTTAGAGTTGCATTTGGTCTCTATGGATGGGCGCAATAATAAAATACATGCTCAAGATGATATCATGAGCAGCAGCTCAGCAGTTATTAACCTACTTACCAAATTGCCAACTTACAAAACTAAAGAATGACACATTAAAAGTGACAAAATCGTCGAACAAGATGACGCTACGCAATAGAATGTGAAAAAAAACGGACATGTGCTGTTCACATGCGATAGAAGAAGTGAAACCTAAAAAAATGAAAACACGCAAAAGTCTTTCATGACTAGGTACGTCTTAAAGACAACACCCATGTTAAAATTCAGCTCTCTAAGTCAAAATTACATATTTCATACTACTTAAATTGTTTTCGAAAAATGAGAGAGCGAGATCCTAAGGGGACCTTAAGCCAAGAATGGCGAATGCACTGATCATTATGCTACCGCGGATCAGATGGCCGTGTCAAATTCTATCTAGCCTTCTTAAGATCTCCTTTATTAAGGTGCATTACCATCATTGAACTACTGAAATATGTATATATTATTATAATTAGTTCATTAATGATTATTTTATAAGACTCTAAACATCACCCGTAAAATGCAATATATACTAGTGCAAATCTACCTACGCGCCGATCAGTACGCCAGCGGCGCAATTTTGTAAAAGGGCTCTTAATAATGAAATGAATATTTATAATGTTTATATCGTTCTTTCTTTTGTAATAGAAGGATCATAATGTTGTGAAAACTCCGCTTTATCTCATGTTAGGAGTGCGTGTATCACGCACTAATGTTTGGATGGGAAAATCAAATCTGAACAGATTTTACTTATTTAAATGTTAACTCAAATACAGCCGGTTAAAAAAATCTGTACTGTTAGGCCAGATCATGCAGTTATCATGCTATTATATTTGACAATTAGCCTTGCATGTCAGATTTCATCATTATGTAATTTTGGTTATTATAAATTGGAAAAACAAAATGAGTTCTCATAATTATTGTCAAATTATTCTATTATGTAACAATATTAAAGACTGAAGCTCATTTAGAGTCGTATGTGCCTTATTTAATTGATATATAACTTATATTTTGCGTAATCTTAGCCTGCGCAGTCGATGGACTTTTGTGTCCGCCGAAAAAGATCGCTTACAAATGCATTGAGTAACGCACATGATGGATTTCAAGTACCGCACACAAAATGTCTTCGAACAACCCAGGACACTAAGAGACTGAAGACTGAAGAAATTCACTTCTGATTCCTCCCACATAGGCCACAAACACCAACACTACACAGCTAGCAAACTTGCACACTAGCTTAGCATTAGGCAGACACCTTACCCGTAAGATAAGAGCGCGAAGACCCGGTCTACACAAGACACGCTATACCTGGGTGTACTGAGAGACTGAAGACTAAAGAAAGCTCAAAACAATTGTCGTACAAAACGCAAGTGCGGTCCTGCGCGGAATATTGCTCGCACCTCTGGGATGGCTCCACTAAGTACTTACTCAATGCCTTGAATAGGTTGCAGCGGCGCGCTGCCCGCATCATTGGCGATAAAGAGGTAACTAACAAACTCGAGTCTCTACAATAACGCCGCGATGAGGCATCATTAGCGAATTCTACGTACTATACCACGGCGAGAGTTCTGAGGAGTTATTCTTCGTAATCCCTCCATCACCCTTTCTTCAGAGGACCACGCGCGCTGGCCTTAGTTGCCACCGACTTACTGTGGTCACTATTCCTACACGAACAAAGAAATTTAGTGATTCATTTCTTTGTCGTACCATTCGTGAGTGGAATTCTTTGCCCGCGCACGTGTTCCCTCCTTCCTACAATCTGGGGTCCTTTAAGAGAGGCGTGAAGAAGCATTTTTTCAGGCTGGCAAGGTGAGGATGGCTGGTGTGGCAGGTAGAACTGCTGTACCAGCTATCTTCACGTCTGGACATCACCGTCACTTAACATCAGGTGGGGTGGAGTCATTTGTCGTACCTATTTATAAAAAAATACACTAGTAATTAAAATAAATTAATACTAAGAAAGGAGTTTTCTAAACTCACCCTAAAGAAGTAATACAGGGGTTCAAAAATTAACACGGACGAAGCCATGGGTGATCGCTAGTAGATTTATGTCAGTAATAATTTGTTTTGTCCACAGGTACCTCGGGACTGATACACAGCTGTTCCTCATCACTTTGGTGATTATGCTGATAATCTGGAGGTGGCCCAGGAGTGGGGTGCCGGTGCTCTCCATCGTGATGGTGATCAGTCTTCTGATACCGTTCCTCCAAAGCTTCTTCATGAAGTTACTACCGATTCGAGTCAGCTTGTTTCCCGAGTAAGTGTCGTATCAAGTCTCATCTCATCATCATCATCAGCCTTTTAATGTTCCCTACCCACTGCTGGGGAACAGGCCTACCCATACATGGAATAGGGAGAATGGGCAGAGACCCATCACGTGCGCTCCAATGCGGATTGGCACCTGCTAACGACTGCAGATGCAGCTGGAACCAACGGCTTAACATGCCTTCCGAAGCACGGAGGAGCTCGAGATAATAAATGCTGGAGCACAGGCCTTCCCTATGGATGGAATAGGGAGATTAGGCCATGACACACCACGCGGGCCCAGTGCGGATTGGCGGGTCCTAATGACTGCAGCAGATGCAGGGACTAACGGCTTAGCGTGCCTTCCGAAGCACGGAGGAACTTGAGATAAAAGATTTTTAGCCAACCCATCCAATGACCGACCACTGCGAAAGTTGCTTAACTTCAACGATCGCAGCCAAACGCGCTAACCACCCGCGCCATCGGGCTCCTCACACATTACAGCTACCCATTACAGAAATAAATTTACTTTAAGTACGTTGAGTAAATATTATACATATGAAGGGTAAAACAGGCTAAGTCACATTAATAAAATTTTAAGTACAAGCAATTAAAGTTACGACAGCATTTTATGAGTGACTCAGAAAATCTGCTCATATACAGATTAAGCAGTTGATTTTAAAAGTAATGTTTTTAGTTTAATAGTATACTACAAGAACATGTAATAATTATCTGAATAAAAGTTGCACAATAACAAAAAATTACTGATATTTCATTAAAATACCCTAACCACCTTATTCATAAACGAAGAATAGGCTTGAATTTGTTACTTCATGTTTTGTCTTTGTTCATTGAATGACAAATAGCATTTGAGTGATAGTTTATTCCGCGTTTATTCATATGGAGTCTAGGAAAGAAGTGGGCAAAAATAATTAAGAAACAAAGAGTTTTACCCTGTTTTGTGATAGCCTTAAGTACCATTTTTGTGGCCATTGCAAGGGCGGATCCAGGGGGGGGGGTCATGGGGGTCATGACAGCCCAGGGGGCTGGGTACAGATGATTTACCCAGGGGGATTTTATTGGGATTTTATTTAAGTACTTTAAATATTTAAGGGGGATTTTATTGGGATTGGGATTTTATTTAAGTACTTTAAATATTTAATATACCACGACTATATGACCCCCCCTGGGGCCAAAGCTGGCTTTATGACCCCCCCCTGGCGCCAAAGCTGGATCCGCCCTTGGGCCATAGATTCCAAAAAATCAATTTAAGAAAAAATGGACTTTGCCTGTTTTTTCCTTGTAGCCCTTAATATGCTATCGTGTTAGAAAAACTTACCGTCATGCGTTAAGTAACCACAGAAATGACAAATTTTCCTAATCCATAGAGTAAATCATGCAGGATGAAAACTCAAAATCAGGGGAAACGGGAAAATTTTACAGTTTTGAGTGACTTGACCAGTACCCCTAGCACAAGCCATTATGTCAAATTTTGTATGGAAAGTTGAACAGCAGTGCCACAAAGTACGTAACGCGAACTTAAAAATTAGTACGAATTTGACAATGACATTTCGGACTCGCAAACGATGCGAATTCGATATTGGTTCTAGTTCTTTTATAAAAAGTTTAACTTTTTATAAAAACAATTATTTTTAATGAACCTCGAACTAGTGACATGTCTTAAAATGATCGATATTTTTATTAATAAATAATGAAATAATAAAAATTTCGGTCATTTTAAGACACGGCGGCACGGCATTTCGAGGTTCATTAAAAATAACTGGTTTTATTAAAAGTTAAAACTTAATGCAAATATTTTAAGAAAAATGGAGAAGACTCCTTCAATGTGATGTACTTCAACGCCCTTCAAGCTTTATTTGTATTTTTGTAACACCCCGTATATTGATGACAAACAAATATATAAACTCAAATTCAAACTCAATGAATGAGTACAGTAATGAATGAATAATATATACTATAATATGAAAATACATTTTCATCCCACCACCTCGGAAAGTGTAATTTTGCGCTTCGAAATCTGGCTGGAAAATTCTATTTTATTCGCTTGAGCGGCAAAGTAGATTTGAATTTAGAACATCACATATAATGAGTACTCAATATAATTGTAAATTCAAAACGTCATTAAACCTATTTAATGTAACCTCTATGGTGCCAAATTTATGATTAGAACTTTTTAAATTGTGAAAAAATTTAAATTTGGAACCTTCTTGGTTTCTTTGTTTTATTTGCGTGCTTCGCGCCATTCTAGTTTTTCACGTTTTATTGCTTAATATAATTAACATAACCTAAAAACTGTACAAAAAAATCAACTAAAATGAGTGACATTAGCGACGATGAAGTTTATCTAACGCCAACTGAGTTAACTGAAACAGTTAATAATGCGCAAATGAGCCTTCTCCCTCAGCAATCACGAGAGAAGTATTTGAAACAGTACGATATATTTAACATGTGGCGACTAGCTAAAGGAGCAAAAACTTTCTCCGAAAACGTTTTGCTGGCATATTTTATAGAATTATCTGAGACCAAGAAAGCAAGCACGCTATGGAGTACGTATTCAATGCTAAAATTAACAATTAAGATGAAGAAAGACGTTCATATCGACACCTATCATAAATTAGTGGCATTTTTAAAAAGAGCCTCATCTGGTTATAAACCAAAAAAATCGAAGGTTTTCACAGCATCTGAAATTGCAAAGTTTATTAATGAAGCACCTGATTCCGTATATTTAGCGGCAAAAGTAAGTCAATACGTGTAATTTTTTGTTGTTGATAAAATTGTACATAGTACTTACAATATTTTTAATTTGATTAATTTATTTACGATTATAAATACTTCTTTTGTTACAGGTTGTTCTTATTATTGGTATAACCGGAGCATGTCGAACAAATGAACTTACACTACTTAATGTCAATAACGTATCAAAATATTCTCATAATTCTGATGAATTGCTATTAATTAATGTACTAAATACCAAGACAAAAAAAGACCGCAACTTCGTTATTCGCAAGGAATATGTAAACATTGTTCAGAAATATCAAGCTTTACGTCCTTCTAACACCCCAATTGAACGATTTTTTCTACAATATCGCAACGGAAAGTGTATCCGACAACCTATGGGTCAGAATAAAATTGGCAGTATTCCACGAGAAATAGCAACTTTTCTCGGACTTTTAGAACCCCCGTTATACACCGGTCACTGTTTTAGAAGAACCTCAGCCACACTTTTGGCCGAATCAGGGGCTGATCTTCTATCGCTTAAGCGCCATGGAGGCTGGAAGTCTAATTCGGTTGTAGAGGGATACATAGAGGATTCAATCCAAAGTAAATCAAAAATTTGTAATAGTATCGTGGAGGCCATAACGCTGAAAGAACCTCTGTCAGATTCTTGGTCTCGCCCTTCTACATCTAAAATGAGCCCCCATAAGATTGGAAACAATAGCCCTCTCTCGCCAACATTTACGCCAATAGAATCCAATGAATCGGCACAACTATTTAAAATTACTGATACGAGTAGTTTACCACAAAACAGCGCACAATTCACAAACACCAACACTTCAATTACCTAACAAAAATATTAAACTTAACATAAGTAACTGTAGCAACGTTACATTTAATATTTCTTAATTATTTTCTACTTCTTATTATTTTCTTCAATTTATAGATTATCTTAATGTGTTTTAATTGAAATAAAAATATTTTGTCATTATAAATTGTTTTCTTTTTCATTTTGTCATTTCCTCGCTGAGGTGGGATGAAAAGTTACGTATTGCACTGGAGTGGAAAGATTTTTCACCTTGTGCTCGTTTGTTTCCCTCGCTGACGCTCAGGATTCTAATTTAGAATCACTCGCTGCGCTCGTGATTCAACTTTAGAATCCTTCGCTTGCTCGGTCATCCAAATCGAGCACGCGGTTAAAAAGGAACTTTCCACTCTTGTATAATAAATAACTATTCATTGCGTTATTTCCAAAGTATACCGGAGTATTTAATGAATTGATAAATATATTCTTTATTATACATACTGCAAGACAGTTTTACTGAAATACATAAATACAATATTGCGAACACAAAAAGTGACCGAATTAATAGGGTAGCAATATCTACCAGGCAACCTTTAGACATCAGAAACAAAGAAGCTACCTTTCCTCCCCTATACACCAACACAAACTTAAAATAGAATTTTCTATTGTTTTTCATAACTTAACACATTAGTGATGATCAAAGGGTAAAGTAATCGTAATACGATTTTTTTTCTTTTGTCAAATAAAAAAAAAGCGCTTCCAAGTTTCGGAGTAGGAGTTCGTGACATCACTTCTAAGTAAAGAAAAAAAAATGTCTCCAATATTTTTGATAATAATCTAGCTGTTTAGCTTTGTTTTCTAACAACTGGAATTGATTTTTTACAGGTCAATAAGGGACATATTCGGATACAACGACACTTTCTATCATGCGTATGTGTCTGCCCAAGGCAATTGGGCAGGGTATCATCTTGGCGTGTTAACGGCTTACTTCTACCACAGAGCACAACAGGAGAAGTGGAACTTGCATGAATCTTTTGTGAGTACAAAACTAATTTTAGATCAATTTTTAATGTAACTGACAAAGCATCAAATTGATAGTATTAGATAATAGTATACTTGTTAATTATATTATTGTTAAATTACAGTCATGTTACTTAAGATTCTATTCAATAAAAAAGCATCCAATGTTGCTCTGCCCCTCAAGCATGGCCACCGAAACGGGATATGTTAAAGCGATATATCGACATTAACTGTCAGACTACTGTCAAACTCCATAGTAGTCTGACAGTTGATGCCGATATATCGCTTTATCATATCCCGATTCGATGGTGTTGCTAGAGGGGCTGAGTCTCATAATTATATCAATGTTTTCAAGCTAGTTTTAGGCGGGTCTCCAGCACGTGTTTTGCTCTACAAAATCTGAAAACCCGCCTGCTTGAAAATTATGTTTAAATAAAAACCGAAAACAAAAAAAAACAAGTGCTGTACTTATGTATTCTGATAATTTGTGAAGTAAGAGCGAAGCTACTTTAACAGTCAGACCCATTGTTGAGGTGATCCATTAATGAATATCCAATGGACTCCGCAGTCGAGTAAAAAGGCTTACGCCTGAATTTGCATATTTCTGCAAGTGTTCCTATACTTAATACAATTTATTTTTCTACACAGCTCTTGAAACTTCTCTTCCTGGCGTCAGTGCCTGTTGCCTTGTTCGCTGCTTTCATGGGCTGGGATTTGCACCACCGCGAAGCCTCCGTCTTGGAAGCCGCCGTCTTCAACGCGTTTAATCAGAACTTCTTCGCCCTTGCAATGTGCGTCTTCATCATCGGATGCTTCTACAGGCTCAACAGTAAGTAAACTACTATATTGTCTTAAACTTACAAAGATTTGGAACCGCCATGAGATGCGTTATAGTGATAGCAGGTTTGCTATCATGAACCTTGTTTTTTGTGAGTCCCCGATATTTTGGATTGCTGCAAGTGCCATGATGGATACTCTTTACAATAGTACCGAAATCTTAGGAGATAATATCGTGTACATTAAATGCTTTGGAAAGGTAAGATAGGACACTGCGGCTGTTTGAGGGTAGAACTCGATGAATAAAAAGTTTTGTCTCATCATTGCTCCAAGAATTTGTAGACGCCAGTATCCGATATTAATTTTAGCTTGATACCTCTACTCATTCCTGAAGAAAGGGTCATGACAAATGTGTGGTGGGTCATAACCCATTCTCCCCGTGCTATTGCCATCCATAGGCATGGTCTGTTCTTCAGCAGTGGCATATTATTTAAGCAGATGATTATTATACATTTGAATAGAAAATATTTTTAAAGTGAAAACTTCTTTAGCGGCGTTGTACACTTTTTTGTATGGGTGAAAAATGTTAAACTCGCATCATGACACGTGGGCTGATCGCATCACAGGCCACGTGTTCTGATCGTAAGACGAAAACAATAAAATTGGAAAGGTTGTTGACTTTTAATATATTGGACGAATCATAGTTATATTTTATTTTATCGTATTATCATAATAAGTCTGTATCTAGGACGTCCAGGTGGCAGCTTTATTTCGAAGAAAATGCATCTTTTTTTACAATAGATGTCGCTAGGTGCGCTTAAATGAGAAATTCGGAGAGATAAACTTTTTGATGTAATATAAATTGTCATGTTTGTGTACGATAGCGCAATAAATAAATATTGTATTCTACCACTTAAATGATAGTACTTTTATACTGATAATTAAAGAAATTCGTGCAAAATTATTCCCTAAACATTCCAAAATATCAAAAATGCACAACGTTAATATTCAAGTTTTCACTTCTGCCGGCACTCCCGGAGTGCAAACCGTCTTTTTTATGTTATAAGGGTGGCTAACAAGCACATGGCCCGCCTGATGGTAAGCGGCCACCATAGCTTATAGACGCTTGCGAAACAAAAATATCACTCTATCGCCGTTGTCTATCAGGATAGACAACGGCGATAGAGTGATATTTTTGTTGGTTAGATATGGTAGTGATTGGGTCAGGACCCAATCCCATACATTGGAATCTTGCTTAACGATAGTAACACAACACCACCAAAAGGTATTGTTATTTTAATGTGGTCTTTTGTAAGGTGGATGTAGGTTAATTCCCCAGACGGGAGACTTTGACAAGACTGTCTATTTACAGGAATCTATGTAGGCTCCGTTGAGTGGGGCCCGCTTCAGCCCCTTGGTCGGATGTCCTACTGCGCTATGTTACTCCACGCTACAGTCTTGAGGACCTACGGAGGACAGCTGAGGAAATCTTTCTACGCCACTGATTACTCTGCGGTAAGTGTATACCTACTTGTCTAGTATATTCAGATTCTACTTCAACATTGTGCTAAAACAATTCCCCCCGACACATCTTAAATTTTTACTTCTGCGCTTTAACGTTCAGCGCTAGAGTTTCGTGCTGCGACTTATAACTGGGTACTGCGAGAATGTAAACAGGTCCATTGCCTTTGACATTGCTACAGTTATGGACCTGGAATTATTGGTTCATGCTATAATTGTAGGTGTATTTAGAGAGCTCTGTATTGCAACACATATTACACATACTAAATTCTTTAAGAACTAGAGTTCCGGCCAAATATTTAGTCTCCTCCGACCGAAGACTAAATTTTTTGAACAGTAAGCATTCCTGTTACTGTTAGGCACCTATCTAATTTGACATTATTGGTCCGCGTGGATTTTTTTCTAGTAAAATTTTCTTTAGATTTAAAAAGCTAAATGTCTTTCAGATCATGTTGTACGCCGGTATAGTCTGCACCACGTACCTGGTCGCTCTCCCTCTCCATCTTTTCGTGGAGGCTCCGGCTTGTCAACTCCAGAAGATCCTTCTTGGCCCAAAGAGAAGACCTAAGATGGCTGAAGACACCAACGGCAATCAAGTGAAGCCGGGCATTTCAACTGTTTCTGTTTCCACAGTATCGACTCATATTTAGATAGAAATTTTGTTAGTTTCATATGAGTAAAAAAAGTTTTCTTGGACATTATGGCGTCTTACTGGAAGGTGTGTGTCGTCACACGGCTCTCATTAAAACGTCAAACAGAACAAAATAATGTCACTTTGTGGCGATATTTATAAGCAGGTCACGTCACTTTAGGCTCCGCCAATCATGGGTGTTTTCGGTCAGGGACAATATTATCAATCAATAACAAAAATACCTCTTTTTTTCTATTTCATGATTTTTAATAATATTATCAACTACTTTTTTTATCTGAATAGTGAAATTGCCCTCAATATTTATGTTAAATACACATGGCAATATTTGGTACTTTATTTTTCATGCTGCCAAATATCCTATTGCGAATGTGTGAGTGACCTGTCGCGTACGCAGAGAAACATTTCTATTGGCGGCGTCAGGCCGTCAGTGCTCACTCACACATGTGCAATCGTACGAAGCTTTATCTTCCGTTCTTTATTCGTGTGTTTATATTCTGTGTTACATCGTTGCCTGATTAAGGCAATATGTTTTTGACCATGAGTACAACCTTTGTCAATCCTTATGTTTTTGTTTTGGAAAATCAGTCATTTGACAAGTTTATAGAGGTTTCCAGTTTCAGATTGTCTTAAAAAGGTCGTATGCACTCTTTTTCACAACCATATTCTGCTTGGAATTCGGGTCCAATGCTACATCTAATATGGAAAACCGCTTTCTATCGTTTGTAAATAAGAAGGCTTGCCTAATAGCTTTAACGAGATTAGACTAAGTAGTTGCATTGCCCATTCTTTTCAAATATAATAGTGGGAGCAAGTGGGAGACAGTGTACCAGGGACATAGTGTTACATAAGGAGTGTCTCTGTATTAAACTCGGCCATTTGACGACTGATGACAGCTGGTTTAAGGCGCTGCCCACGATCACCCCACTACAACGGCTAACTAGAGCCGAGGTCCGAGTCTCAGTAACGCCCTCTTGTTGAGCAGACCCCCTCAGGTTCGAGTGGTCTAGAGGCTCCAGACGGAGAGGAGAATCCCCCCGTGAGGAGATGCCATCCACCTAGAACACCTCTAGAGGCACTCGCCAATTCTCGGCTTGAGGTCCCCATAGGATCTCGCCGTCCCCAAACCCGGTGACGCTGTAAAGGTCATCAGCGACCAACAGCATACACATTCAAAAAAAGAAAAAAGCCCACGATCTGTGTTGTTGCGAGCGAGGCCGCACCGCGCAGGGACGCCAAACGTATGAGAACTCTAACGTTGGAGATTTAGCATGATTCGAGATGAATAAAAATCTCATACATTTTGATACGAGATTTGAACAATGTTGACTGCTTGTGTCATGTACACAAACCTAAAATATTATCAGAAAGTAAATAAATGTCCAGTCCGCAAATGATCGTCTCAGTAAGTACAGATTAATTATGCATCCCTATTCGTATCATGGTATCATCACCTCGTATCAGAGACTGCTAAATCTCTAACGTTAGAGTTCTCATACGTATAGCAACCCTGCGCGGCGCAGCTTCGCCTGCGACACCACAGATCGTGGGACAGTCCCTAAGATGGCGGCATATGAAACTAATAAAACACGTGAAGAAAGAGCATAGACAAAAAAAAGGCCAGGAATATTCCTTACGTTATGCTTTACCATTTTTAACGCTGTCCCTCACTTGACTTGATCAAACTTCAAGCATATCAAAGGCATTGTTTAGTATATTATTAATATACTCTTTAGCTGATAATATTGCAAATAAGACTTCCATAACTTTTAAAATAGCTTTATTGTAGCATTAAACATTGTTATCTTCTAACGATAACTTTAAGAACTCTGGTTTTTCTCCTATTTTATAAACAGGACCTTGCTTTAATGTCGGTATGGTAAAACTGAGAATTTAGTTCTTTGGTGTTGATAAGACTAAGAATTAGTTACAATGTCTCTCTACGATAGTCATTTAGTTTCAAATGTATAGTATTATAATTTTCAAGAGCTACTTACATTTTAGTTTCATTAAAAGGCAATAACTCAAAGACTATGTTGCTTTGAAATAAATCATAATAGACTTTTGTACCTTAAGACGAGTGTTTGTAGTTCAAAGTATAATTCTAAAAGAACTTTGTTATGTATTCTGTAAGCTTTTGTTAATTTATAAATGTCTTAGCATTTTTTCTTGAATGTGTTTAGTAATGCAATTGCTATTATAAAGAAATTACTGGATAGATTTTACACATGAAATTATTGCTCAAATTATAAAATATATTTTTATAGAAATTGTATATGTAGATATTAAACTTTTGGGTTAGTGGAATTTACTCTGTAGTCTTAAAATTATAACTTTTATTTGAGTATTGTGTCTGCAGTAGATTTAAGTTGTAAAGCGCTTGAATACTTTAAGCCGAAAATTGTTTGCGTTCTATTAGCGTATATAGTTAGAATTTCTCCCATCATTTGGGTTTAGTTCAAGCAGTTTTCATCTTAAAGTGGTGAGTCGCAAATTCCAATGTAGGAATATATTTGGATATAATTATAGCATGTCATTATTATAAGTAAACGAATGTAAATAAAAAATATATAATTAATAATGTTTCTTGTTATCTTTTGTGGTTATTCCTAAACTAAATATCCATGAAACGACCTTCTTTGGTCGTTCTTTTACCGTCCAAGCTGTACGTCTATGGAATCCTCTTCCAGTATCCATAAGACGAGCACAATCTATTTATGTCTTTAAAAATCTTGATGTGAATCACTACTTGTCGATGTAGCTGCATTTTTATCTCTGCTGACTGGACTAAACTTATATATACGTAGTCTATCAGTATAACATTTGGATATAATTATAAGTACTTATTCAAACCGGAAACTCGGCAATCGGAACTCACCAATAATATCCACACAATACAGAGATTTATCGAAAATTTGACTCACCGTTTTAATCGGCTGCATTGTTCTAAGCCGCAGAGTGAAAGCCATTGAAATGCGTTCGCAATGAGTAATCAATGCGTGAAATTATCGGAATACTTTAATGGCCCAATCACATTTGATCGTTAGCCCGAATACGAGTACCAATGGGATTCGGGTAAACGATTGAGTGTAAATGAACGGAGTCGAATACTCGGGTAGTGTTTGTTTTGGTTACCTGTCAAGGTCTTCCAGCTCTATTCCAATGTAAATATTGCTTCGGGTGCTCGAATTCAAGTATAATGCTCCGTGTGCGATTCAAATAAGAATAGGAAAGCCAATGACCTCTATCTGTCAAATGTCGCTTGAAAAGTACGGTTTGCAAAAATAATCTTGGAACCCTTTTTTAGCACTCCGCTAATTCAAAAATATAATATATAATAAAAACGAAACATTTGTAAACAAACAATAAATATTGATAATTAATATCGGTTGATATTTTTTTTCACTTATTGAGCTTTGGCCATGAATGGTTGATAACCTAAATCGTCAACCAAAAGTCACTTTATATTTATTGTGTTGAGAAACTCGATTTCAAACTTTCGTTTACATATAAGATGCATGTTCGTATGTGACCTAGTAATAGTGCATGATTATTCGTAACTACTCCGATGGTAATGCAGAGATGAGCGGAATAGAAGAGCTAGATTCTGATTAATGTTTTTTCTCACACTCTTAATAAATAAATATTATTAAAAATCGATGGTTTTTTTTCTCAGTCTTAGTAAATAAATGTTATTAAAAAAAACTGATGCTATTTCTCACTTAATCTTAGTAAATAACTTTTATTAAATAAAAACTTTTTGTTGCTCACTCTATCTATTTGGTTTGATTTGACAGCTATGATGACATCACAATATGGCGCCCAGTCGGTCCTATTCTTAGTTGAATCGCATTATAATGTTTTTCATGCATCCAAATACGGGCTAACGACCAAGTGTAATTGTACCATAATGTTGCTTTAAGCTAATTAGGCATACATGTTGATTTATTTATTTTGTAATAAAATTATTATTGATATAAAACCACTTTAGTAACTGACCTTTCGTTAGATTTGATTGATGGTTGTTGATTGTTTTTCTTGCAAATAAACACACTAAGGGCCACTTGCGCATTGTAAAGTTAACTTATTTAACTTCAAGTTCAATAATAACGGAAGGTTATGTAAGTAATTTGTTTGGCAGTGTTCAGAGTTAATTCTGGGCTTCGGTGGGAAAGAAAGGTTTTTTACCTTTAATTTCTGTTTCATTATTTCATAATTTGTATCTCGTTCCGGGGCGGGTCTGTCCCGTCCCGGAATAAAAACAATAAGGCAAAAATGCCTCTCCTTTGTTCAACTGAGTCTAAACTTTATCCTTCTTGACTAACGAATCATTTTCCATAGTGAAAACTTGTCGTTTTTTTTATAACTTGATGTGTGTCTCTCCAAATTTATTTATAGTCAATAACCTCAGGCTTTTGAAGTAAAAACTTCTTTAGCGGCGTTGTTTTTTTTTTGTTATGGGTAAAAAATGTTAAACTCGCGTCAGGACACGTGGCCTGATCAAAAATTCGTAAGACGAAAACTTCTTTAGTGACGTTGTACACTTTTTTTGTAATGGGTAAAAAATGTTAAACTCGCGTCAGGTGACATGACCTGATCGAAAATTCGTAAGACGGATGGAGAGTAGGCAGCCGGCGGCGACGCGGCGTAGGAGAGGAAGTATCCTCCTCTCTTTCTACGGCGCGGCAAAAATGTATGCCTGCGCCTGCTGTTTCGTTTAGGCGGCGCAGGGCGCTTGCGCGAATGTTCGTGTGTGTTTATGTCACAGCGTGCCACGCGCATCCATGGATGGTGAAAGCTGATGGCTCTAACGTCTGTGTAGTGGCCACACTGCTGTGTATTCGTAATATTCGTGTTTATAAAGTGTTTCCGATAAATTAAAGCAATTCATGCAAAATTATTCCCTAACCATTCTAAAATATCAACGTAAATATTCAAGTTTTCACTCTGTTCTGCCGGCACTCCCGGAGTGCAAACCGTCGTTTTTGTTTAAACTTTATT